TTTACAATCCAATGCAAGCAATGGTTACTGAATATGAGGTCTACTTTGCCTTCGAGGGCCCGGAGTTCAGGCGCCAACACATCCCAATCCGCACCGAAATCCTGTGCAAAGTATTGGATGTAAGGCTTGCAGTGGTTTTGTGTCGCAAATCCTATCATCTCTTTGTCCACATCTATGCCATAGATTTGCTTGACTTTCAGTATATCACCGATAGTTTGGGTTATATTCCCAGAACCGCACCCAATATCCAACACTAAGTCATACTCTCTAATGAAACCAATTTTGTAAATTAAATAGTGTTTCATATATCATAGAAATATTGTTCAAGTACATTATTATCACAAATAAAAGGTTATGCATTGTAAAGTTAATAAATTAATCAAAAGTGAATTGAATTTATTATTTTTTATAACAAGATTTATGTAATAAATAAAAACTTTTAATACTTATCACTATTTTCGGCTACAATTCTGTTTAGGAGTTCCTTTGCGTCCCTTATTTGCAGTTTATTTGATTTGTTATATTTTGTTGCATTAAAATCCATTGTATTTTGTTATATAAAAGTTACACTAAAATCCTTTGCAAACAAATTCACCACTTAATGAATAACTTGTCGCAAGACTTTGGGCTGATTTACAAGTTTTTAGTTGAAATAACTTTCTGTAACATAAAATATATCATTAATTATTTACTTTTATAGAAATCCTATCCGATTGTGTACTTACCGACCATGAAATCCAATCAATAGTTTATATAATTTGTGAATTTTTAATGATTAGTAATTAAATAAAAATTTTGTCAAGCATTCAAAAATGATAATCACTGGCAATAACACATAATTATAAATGAAATGATTCTCATATTAATTGCTAACATTCACTCAATACTTTTGCTTTGTGAAATAACTTTAATTTAAAAATTAACTAAAATGTAACAAAAAATAAATATTTGTTTGAGGAGTAACTAAATAAAACAAAATAGTGTTTATGAAAAACACAGATTTTTAAAAATAAATATTGAGTTCATTAAACTAAACATAGATTTAGGTTTTCGTAAATCAAGAAAAAATAATTTATATTAACTTTTTGCTCAAATCATGTTTTCTAATCACAAAAATCTTAGACTTTAAACATTTAATACAGTGTATGCTATTTACTGTACATAAGTTTATAACTACTGTTACTAACTTAATACCATTCATGCCTATTTATTAATTGTATACTGTATTTGATTTATGATATGATCTTGTTGATTTATTACTGTTGAAAATTTTCATTTTGTGTTTATGTGATCAAATGTACTGTCGAGTAGTATACTTATCAAATCAAACAGTTTATTTGCACTTAAAAATTTAGTTAAAACATTTTAATATATAGAAATATTTATAAATATTATGCTTATTTAATTTAAAATATCATTGAAAGCAAATTTATAAAGTATGTTAATATAATCAATAAATTTTAAAGGTATTTACAATAAAATAGTTAATTTTGATAGCAGTATTTATAATAACAACTATACCCTGCGCCTATTGATGATTATCAGGAACCTTATGATACTGTTTAGAATAGATTGCAATCGCAATCCAAATAACCACTGAAATAATGACTAAAATGATGGATACAACTAACATGTAATAAGTGTGGGAACTCTGGGAACAGTATTCTTGTGACCGAACTATCCATCTGTTCCACAATCTTCTCATACGATCACCGGAATGGCAGCCATGGTATGCAATCTTATTATCCAGTTTGCAGACTATCGCTAAGACATCACTATCTGTACACGAATACAACCAATTTAGGAAAACCTCCGGGGTCATTGTGAACCGGGAGGTTAGCCCTATGCGTTATAACCCCGGTCATATAAAAGTCCTCCACTTTTAGAACCGCATCGTCGTTATCAATGATTATTGTTTTGTACATATTATCGATGATATCGGTGGATATGATTTGGAAGTAACCAAATGTGTAGGAAATGGAGTTATTGTTGGGGTAGACGTCGTATGGGATGTAATTCCGGCCATCTTTATCACGTCGAGCAGATCCCCTATACATATCTCCAGTGATTCCCGATTTAAATGCCATTTTATATTTTCTTTGTCGTAGTCTTTCAGTGTTGACCACAATATCGTCATCTGTTTTGATGACATAGTCGTTGACTAAACACTCCTTTGAGATCCAATTCAACAAAGAGATGGCTTTAAACGTCAGATTATAATAGGCGTCAACGAAACCAAACTCAAGAATATCTCCGTATTTATCGGATTCTGTAGTGATATTCCTCTGGTTCTCTTGACTCTCATTGGAGTCTGGATTCTAATGGTAGGCCAACACGAATGTGACTTTCATGTGGTGTTTGAGCGCCTCTGAAGCCCAGGTATCTCTGGTAGCGGTTCTCCTGTCGTAGTATTTGCCGGAAGACTTGGCCGCCGAGTGAACGAAGATTTGCGTCCAATTGTGGGAACACTTGTGCTTCGGTTGTATCAGTGGTTCATCTTTTGTGAGATACAACTCAGACACCGAGTGCTCGTATGGTAGACCTGCAGGCCATCCAAACACAGGAACAGTAGTTGTGATTATAATCACAAAAGTGACTTTTACTTAACGCTCATGTCTAATTTTATGTGTAATCCATATAGAAAATATAAGCAGCTAGGTAAAATTGGATGCAAATCTTGGTTCACTAAGCCGACATGACAGGAGAACCGCTACCAGAGATACCTGGGCTTTAGAGGGTAAAAGCAAACATTAAATCCGTAGACTTTTGTACTGGCACAGTCTAAATCTCAGATATAATTATTTTAGATTAATTATTCATTACGATTTATTGAAAACACTTAATTAAACAATAACAATTATTGGAGGTTACAATTAATTTAAATTAAAAGTGTATCTCCTTTTAATTCAACCATTTTATTAATTTAAAATATTTTAATTTATTATAAATAAATAAAGTTCATTATAACTAGAACATAATTACTTTACTATTTAGCTCGGTATATTTGTATTAACCATGGTATACCTACGCTTATATTTAACAAACACTTTGATTGAAATGATAATCACTATAGTTATGGTCAATAAGATAATCGATATAATAGTCACTGTCTTTGCTATTAGCCACACATTACACGAATTAATTGTCGTATTCTTCCAGGAGTTCCACAAATGTCTCACATTATTCCCGGTATGGCAGCCATGGTATGAGACATAGTCGTAGAGTCGGCAGACATTCACATCACACACTTGCGATACATCGGACCCATGATTGGGAAACTCCTGGTCGTCGTAGCGGTCAATACCAGCCGTTTGTGACACAAAACCCGTCAAATAGAGGTCATCGATGCGCAGCACCGGTAGTATTGAGGCATTCATAGCAAACCGATATAACTTATCGATGATATCAGTGGACATGACATACGCAGCCCCCAGAAGGTAAGGTGGGTATCGGTCTAGTGGGTAGACATCGGACGGCATATACCAGTTACTGTTGGCATTACGGGGCGGTTTGGTGTCGACCCCTTTAGCCATATATCCTGTTATTCCCGATTTAAATGCCTTTTTATCTATTCTTTGTCGCAGTCTTTCAGTGTTGACCACAATATCGTCATCTGTTTTGATGACATAGTCGTTGACTAAACACTGCTTTGAGACCCAATTCAACAAAGAGATGGCTTTAAGCGTCAGATTATAATAGGCGTCAACGAAACCAAACTGAAGAATATCTCCGTATTTCTCGGATTCTGTAGTAATATTCCTCTGGATTTCTTGACTCTCATTGGAGTCTGGGTTCTTATGGTAGGCCAACACGAATGTGACTCTCATGTGGTGTTTGAGGGCCTCTGAAGCCCAGGTATCTCTGGTAGCGGTTCTTCTGTCGTAGTATTTGCCGGAAGTCTTGGCCGCCGAGTGAACGAAGATTTGCGTCCAATTGTGGGAACACTTGTGCTTCGGTTCTATCAGTGGTTCAGCGGTTGTCAGCAATAACTCAG